ACTAGTGGTTACCTTACTTGATGGCTCAACACTAGTGGTTACCTTATTTGAGGGTTTAACACTAGTGGTTACCTTATTTAAGGGTTCATACATTAATGGTTACCTTATTGGAGCATTCAGACACTAATGGTTACCTTATATGAAGGTTCAGACACTAGTGGTTACCTTCTTGAGGGTTCAAACACTAGTGGTTACCTTATTTAAAGGTTCAGACACTAGTGGTTACCTTTTCTGAGCTGACAGACAAAGACGATTGATTACCTTGTTTCAGATGATAGATAACCAGGTTGAGTCGAGCCTCTGGAATGACATCTATCAGAGGGGGCAGTACTTGTAAGGACCCTTCTCCTCCACGGAATACAACCTTCAGAAAGAATTTACATGTTTAGGTAATGTTTCAATTAAAAAGAACAGATCCAACACTCAAAACTTCTGACTAGGGATAGGTCTGCTCTTGGCAGAATAAAATTGTTTCAGAACATAATAACTTTCCTATACTTTGGTCTTTCTGCTAGCTAAGAGTGGAACGAAATGAAATATCAATTGAAACATTATATCCCAAATATTTCCCCAAAACTTCATACCAGTACAATTGATAAGATATATTTGTGTAATTGATTAGAATAAAGTCAACCCAGTAGTACATCAACAACAAAAATAATTTCAAAAATATCTAATCACAATAAAAAAAGTGCATCTCCTATACCAAATAACTAGCTACTAGAATTACTTACCGGTATAGTAAATAAACTAGATTACAACAAAACCAATGTCTCTGTACATGTATACACTAGTGTCTGCAGTCAGGGCTATACATCAAGTTTGTATCATCAGCAAACACTAAGTAGAATGATTTCATCTCTCTGGGACTCACATATACCATACATCAATATTAAGTAGCCATGCTCTGTACAAACCCCTCTCTACCAAACAATGTGGACGGCGACAATTTGTCTCCTGGTAAAAATGCTCCCCAGTACAATCTCATTGAAGTTATCTCAAATCAGAAATATTGATTCTAGGCACTTGACTGGTTTCATTCTAAATCTCTGATTGTTTGGATTGTGCTTTTTACTAAATACATCTATGTGAAATATGATTATAATGCATCCTTTATCAGTTTGAAAAAGATCGCCCATTAGAAATCTTCTTTTTTTAAACAGGATGACCTTAACCTCTATGTAACAGAGAAGGGCACTTTTTTCTATGAACTAAATCTGCTCAGTAGCTTATGGCTATTTAAGTATGAGAAATCATTAATCAGAAACTCATTTTTAAAGTCAAAAATAGAAAATGATTCTATCGTTACAGCCATGTTTTTGTGCTGTGGCACAGTCTGATGGTAATGAGAATCAAAGATTAGCTATTCTTGTGTTACCTTGACACTCAAGTCACAATCACTCACCATGTTATGTTTGATGAGATCTCTCGCGAACACAAATGATGGCGTTGACATTTCTTGTAGACTCTTTAACTCGGCCTTGAAATATGAAATGAAAATCAATTATTTTATTCAAATATTCCCAAATTACAACAGATAAACAATGGATCGTAACTATGTGACAAATGGTCACATGACCTACAGCAAAGCTGTATCTAGAGGGACAAAACAGGGATCAGAGTGAGTGAACGTTAGACCAAAAACAAGTACATTTTGTATACAGAATTTAGAAGTAGTCCCATGGCAAAATATGGACAGGTTTAACAGATAAAATATAGAAAAAGGAATATGTTGCCATGGTAATAAATACAAATAATATTCAAATTTTTCATATATCAGTTCTTTTTCTGAATTGGATTCTATGTAAAAAGATGTTTTTTTTAGGTTTTATGTGATTTTAGACTGCTGAAACATGACATAAGAGGTGCCATGGATGTTCTGTACAACGAAGATCACATACATGTATATTGTCTTTGACAAACAAAAAGTGGCTAGTGGAAGTTATGATATTTATCACTTCAAGTTCTAAGTAACACAGATACGTACCTCTGCGGCCTTTCCATTGTAGAGCCTGAAGTGATTACAGGCCTTTAGATTTAGGGCTATGGCACTGTCAGGGTACTGTTGTAGGTACACGGCTAGCACCTCCTGTAAACCAATCATAGCACAGCATTAGTTCACATATCAATATAAGCACATATCCGGACAATCATTAGCATTTTGAGACATAATACCAGCATCAGAGTATTATCCTCTCTGCCCTGCATGCACTACTCTATCCATTTTACTTCTAGTTCAACAGGTGACAGCTTAAATCTTATGCTGATTTTGTATTTGGTTTCACATAATTTATGTATATGGGCAGCTCAGGTTGATATGGGTAGGATATATATGGGAATGGTCATATGATAATGTATAATTATGACACTGTCTGTGAAGGTATTTCTAATGAAAATCATCTTTTGCAAATAAAGCATCTTTTTACTAGTAAATGCCCACCCAAAAGTTGGCATTTCTTTATTTTTAATTTTTGATGTTTTCCTTTAATACCAAAATATACACATGTATATAGAATAAAAACATAAATTGTTCAGATCGTCTGCTAGGCCTTTCTGCCTTCTAGGGCTTCTTCAG